AGACCCCATGCCAGGGGTGGTTGCCATGGACACCAGCTCAGGCCTGCAGCCAGAGCCCGTTGCCATGGCAACCATTGGCAGCCCCATCCCCAGGCTTGTGGGATCCCAGAAGCACAGAATTGGCTGAGCTGGGAGGGACCCATCAGGATCCTCCAGTCCAACTGCTGGCCCTGCACAGGACACCCCAACAATGCCAGCCTGGGCCTGGCAGCGCTGGCCAAACGCTGCTGCAGCTCAGAGAGCCCTGGAGCTGGGAGCCTTCCCTGGGGAGCCTGGCCAGGGCCCCAGCAGCCTCTGGGCAAAAACCTTTTCCTGACATCCAACCTGAGCCTGCCCCGACTCAGCTGCAGCCGCTCCCTCCACTCCTGTCCCTGGGCACCAGAGGGAAGAGGTTCCCACAGCCCCAGCCAGGGACCCGCTCCCAAGGCTGCTGCCATGGCCACCAGGGCTGGCACCAGCTGGGATGCTCGCTTTCCACGGGCCGGGCTTCAGCAATGGGATTCCCCAATTTCCTGCTCCCGCTAAAATCGCGCTGCCCTTGCTGCCCTCCCGCCTCCCATGGAAAGCACAAAAGGCAAAGATCCCAGGCTGGGATAAGAACAATTTATTGGGAACAACAATGAAATAAGGAACAAACAGGAACAGAAACAATATTGATAACAGAAGGGATAAGAAAAACTATTTGCAGAGAAAACTACAACATCAACAATTGGCTCTCCCTGGCCACATATTTCCCCCTGCCTGGAAAGGACACCCTTCTCCTCAGGGAGAGAGAGAGAAAGAGTCCCTCTCCTGCCCCTGGCAATGACCTGAGGTGGGAGCGAATGCAATGACAGGGCCATGGCCGGACCATCATGTTCTTCCATACCACATCATGTGGTATGAATCGGTGTGAATCCGTTCATGCACGAGGAGACTGGAGCTGGTCTGAAACCTCTTCCCACACTGGGTGCACTCATAGGGCCGCTCTCCAGTGTGGATCATTTGGTGGATGATCTGCTGGGGCTTACGACTGAAGGTCATCTCACATTCCCCACACTTGTATGGCCTTTCTCCAGTGTGGATCCTCTGGTGGTGGATCAAGTGGGACTTCTGCCTGAACCTCTTCCCACATTCCACACATTCATAGGGCCTCTCCCCAGCGTGGATGCGCTGGTGCCTGATGAGGTGGGAGTTGCGCTTGAAGCCCTTCCTGCACTCAGGGCAGCAGAAAAGCCTCTCCTTGGTGTGAATCCGCTGGTGGCGGAGGAGATTGGAGCTGGTCTGAAACCTCTTCTGATACTCGGGACACTCTAGGGCCTCTCCCCAGTGCGGATGCGTTGGTGGGTCACAAGGGCAGAGCTGCAGCTGAAGCTCTTCCCACATTTGCCACTCTCGTGGGGCCATTCCCCAGTGCGGATCATCTGGTGGCTGATCAGGGTGCTGCTCTGCCTGAAGCTCTTCCCACACTCCAAGCACTTGTAGGGCTTCTCCCCATCATGAAGCTGCTCCTGGGCCATCAGCTCTGAGGCCTGGCTGAAGCTCTGTCCACCTTCCTGGCTCAGATTGGGTCTTTCTTCCTCAGAGCACCCTGAGCTGGGTTTGCAGCCCCTCCGCATGTGAGATCTTCCATCTTTTCCTCCCTGTTGAATTCCTGTGCCGTGGAGCCACTCAATATGACCTCTTCCACGAGGTTCTGTGTTGGGGATTTTTCCTCCCTGCTGTCCATACTCAGCTCCTTGTCTGGGGGAGGAAGGACAAGGAGAGGATGGGATTTGCCTCCGTGCCAGAGGGAAGGGGAAGGAGATCCCCCCAGTGCATCCCCAGCAGGACGGGGTTGGCAGCAGGGTTGTCCTGCAGCCGGGGCTGTGCTGGGCTGGGAGATGGAGCAGGAGAGAGGGGAAAAGGGGCACTGACTTCCTCCTCACCTGCCTGGGTGTCCCAGGGCTCCTTCCTCTTCTTCACAGTCTCCTACTCCATCCAATCAAAGTTTGGGAATGAGTAATCCTGTTTTGGGAAGAAAACAAAGGGTGCGCAAATTGTCTTTTGTACTGGTTTGAAGGCAAACCTGGGGGAGGGTCTAAGCCAGAATTGCAATTCAATAAGAAAATGAAGATCAAGGCAATGATACAGAAACACTGCCCTAAACTGACAGAGTCAGGATATAACCTGACACCCTGTTGCTGGTAAGGGTGGTGGCTGCAGTCCCATTAAATGGTGGCTGCAGTCCTGTTGGAGTGATGAGCGTGATTCTGTCCAAGCAGTGATCCTGTAGAAGGGTCTGGTCTTCCTCTGAAGGTCCAGTGGTGGTTCTGGAGCTCTTGTCCTCTGGGAATCCAGTAGGCAAGCTGCTCCTGGTGTTGCAAGGCTCAGCTTATATCCAGGTAGGAATGCTTGGTTCCTCCCCCTGGGCGGAGCATCCCACAATGGGATGATGGAATTTTATCAGTCCTGCAGTGACACTCAATGGCCCATTCACAGAAGATATCTCCCCTGGAGGGCGTTATCAGGGCTGAGTCATGGAAGAGATCAAGAACACTGCCCCGCCTGTTTATAGCAGTTGATGAAGATGGGGATTGAAAACATGCATTTGGTTCCATCTTACACTGCAGCCTGAAACAGTGGGGGAATCCCTGCTCAGGGGGTGAACACCACCCCCCTTACCCAAACTGGCTCAGGTGTAAAACCCCCACCCCGGGAAGGCCACACACACAGGGGACAATGTCACACTTGCCCTGCCCCAGGGGAGGTCTCTGTCCCTGTCACTCCCTTGCTCTCCCCCCTTTTCTCTTTCTTTCCATCTCTCTCTCTACCTCACATTTACTGTTCAATAAAATCTACCTTAGATTTGGTCTCATTAGCACCTTAATTGGGGCAGAGGCATCTCTCTAACAATTTTCTTACCCAGATTGCCACATTATTTTGGCACAGTGAGATCAGGGAACTGTTCTTTGGCCCCAAATGCCTTTGACAACAGCATGGGTCCCTCCTCTGGGGAAGTTGTGGTTCTCTCTGGAGGAACTCTTGGAAACTTGGATGCAGCTTCCTCTGAGCAACTTACGGGAGAACTGATGAGGAAAATGGCTGTTGTGGGTGGCCAGTGTAAAGAAAATATTTTAGTTGTCCTTCCTTGAAAAGCTTGTTAAAATCACTGGAGGAAAGGGAGCAAATGATGCTCGCAAGATTGGCAATGTTCATTCACTCCAAGTTGAGGAACACAAGGCTGCAAGAAGTCCCACAAGAAGCCCAGCTCAAGTAGCTAAATTCCCAAATAACCCCTGAATTCCCAGGCTTGGGGGCTTTGTCAAATGTGAGAATCATTATTCTCTTCATCCCTGTCACCTTTCTGACAGCTACACAGAGCTTCCACTTCCTTTTAATAATCTGTATTGGGCCAAATTTCCACTTTTCTTTTATTGCAATCTGCCAGCAGCTGAGCTGGAGCTGTGCAGGAACCGATGAAACTTGGAATTGCCACATCACTGCTTGGGTTGTCAGTTTGTTCATGTATGGGATTTGTTTGCACTTTCATCACAAGTTACTTGTGGGAAGAGCAAATATTCTTCAAAGTGATTTATGCAGAGCTAAGTTTGATTTCTGCCACTTTTATTTTCTCCAGTGCCCAGGGGATGCTCAAGGGGTCTCTGTGCCTCTTTTCCTGGGGGATGCTTGGGAGGGGCTTGGGAGGGGTGTCCCTGTCCCTGTCACCCCAGGCCATTCCCCTGGGGTCTCCCTGTCCCGTCACCCCAGGCCATTCCCCTGGGGTTCTCCCTGTCCCTGTCACCCCAGGCCATTCCCCTGGGGGTCTCCATTGTTCTCACCCAGGGAATGCCTGGCGGGTCTCCCTCCCTCTCACCCCTCTCCCAGGGGGTGCTCGGGGCAGTCTCTGTCCCTCTCAGCCCAGGGGATGCTCGGGGCTCTCTGTCCCCTTTCCCTGGGGGATGCTCGGGGGGTCTCCATCCCTCTGGCCTCAGGCACTGTCTGTGCAGGGCTGGGCACCAGGGGCTCTGTGTCCCTCTCACCGCTGAGGGTGCTCGGGGCTGGGGGGGGTCTCCGACCTTCTCACCCCTGGGGAGGCTGGGGGGGTCTCTGTCCCTCTCAGCCCTGCTGTGACCCCACCCAAACATCATCGGGGTCACAGGGACAGAGACACCCCCAAAGCCCCAGAAGGGCTGAACGTGAGGGTTTGGTTTGGAGCTGAGGATTTAGGAAGGGGCTGGAATTGGGGCTGGGGTTGGAGCTGGGACTGAGATTTGCATTAGAACTGGGATTGGGGTTAAGGCTAGACATGGGATTGGCTTTAGGGCTGGGGTTGGGATTGGGTCTGGGGCTAGACAAGTTTGGAACTGGGATGTGATTAAATACAGAACTTTGAGTGTGTCTAAACGTGGAGTGAGATTGAGACCAGGATCAGGGTCAGGTTTGGGACTGAGCTCACCCAGAGCAGGACAGGGGGGATGTCACTGTGGGATGTCCCTGGCATCATCCCAGTCCACCTCAGGCACCTCCAAACATGGGGGGCAGCTGGGTGCCCCAAGATCCAGGTGCTCCCACCCTGCCCCTCAATACCAGGCGAGCATTCCCTGAGGGCAGCCCTGACTGTGACCCTTGGGGCTCTGGGATCAGCCCTCACATCCCTGTGGGAGCAGCTGCAGACAGGACAAGAGATTTTCCCCCCCACTTCCCTGCGGGTGGATGAAGCCCAGCTGCCCTTTTCTTCTGGTGCCTCCTCCTCTCCTTGGCCAAGCACCACCCTGGGACAGGGGTGAGAGGGAGGGAGAACCCCCCAGGCATTCCCTGGGCTGAGAATGGTGAAGACCCCCTGGAGAATGGCCTGGGGTGAAAGGAGCAGGGACACCCCTGGGGAATGGCCTGGAGTCACAGGCTCAGTGACAACCCTCCCAAGCCTCTGGCAAGCATCCCCCAGGGTGAGAGGCACAGAGAGCCATCGAGCCATGAACCTCTTTTCACCACACACTTGCAGGCACAGGTCCTTTCACAGGCTTTGCTTCCCAGGTCATATGGCTCATGATCCCACCAAAGACAGAGCCCCTGCACACTCATTTCCAGGCAGCAATGCTCCCTCCGCAGCAACCTGCTCACCAGGTCCTCGCTACTTCCTCCAATCATCCATCACCAAGACTGGGAAGCAGGTGGCTCCATCAGTACTTGTGACAGCACGTCCCAAGAGCAAGAGTTTGGTCACCCCTGGACCCAGTGAGTAGCATTTCTGCAGCCCTTCATCCAGGCCAGACAAGCAGGCCTTACTGTTGCCCTGTGCCACTGGGGCACAGAGCCCTCTGCTCACGCCCTGAATGGGCTTCAGAGAGTTCCAGACAGAAAAGAAGCAAGACTGAGCACCTCCTCCAGCTCCTCCTGACTTCTCCTCTGTGGCTTGCACTTAGGCTCCAGCTTCACTTTTCTTGTCTCCTTCTGTGTCCCAGGTGACTCCACCACAGATCCTGCCAGCGAACGCGCCTTCCGTGCTGCACCGGCCCATAGCCTGGCATCCTGAGCCAAGGGTTTAAGAGGTTTCCGAACACCAGGTATGGAACGTGGGGAAACAGACACTCTTACAGCCTGCGTGTCCTGCAGGGAGCATCTGTAACTTCTTCAACAGGCCTAGCAAAAAGCCTGCGCAGCAAGAGGGCAGTGTGCGCTCAACAGGCTTTGTGCCGTCCCACAGCACCAACTTCTCCCATCTCACACAAGAACCGGCATCTCTGCTTTCAAACAGCCAAGGCACACCACATGCAACAAAAGCCAGAGGCACTGGCATGAGGGGCAGGATAGCCTTCCTGCTCCTCACAGCCAGCTTGGCAGGCTGACTCTCTTCCACCCAATGCATTGCACCCTTTCCCACAGGGCTGACCTACGCTGTCTTCCTATTCCGTTTCCAGCTCCTGGCACCTACAGCTTGCCCAGGATTCTGGGACCCAACCCAGCATACACTCCTGCTGAACCCTGCTACTCCAGGAAGGGGAAGAGGCAATACCCGAGCTGTTGTCAAGAGGTGGCAAAGGTGAGCTGTGCTTCTGTTCTCTGACAGCAGCAGCAGAAGCTCAGCTGCTCTGCTCAGGGCACAAGGGCCCCAGTGCCTGCCCTTTCCCCACATAACACACGCTTCCCTGCACCTGCAGCAAAGCACAAGAAGCCACAGGGCCTCTGGCTCTGCTATAACCAGGAACAGCCACACCTGAATCCCCCCCATTTTTCCACCCCAGCAGCTTTGACACAGTACAGCTCACTGCCCTTAAGGGCAAGAATCTCCCCTCATTCTCTGGCAAATCTACCTGTCTTCCCAAGGAGCCCCTGTTGCCAAGGCTCCAGGCCTCCCACGCTACTCCTCTGGCCAGCCACCTAAAGCAGCACAGTACTCATGGACAGTCAGCAAGAATCCACATATTCCTATTAAATTCGACTCGGGCCATCTCAAAAGAAAAATGTTTGACGACCTTTTTGAGATAAATGAGATGCTCCAACTCACTTTGGATAGCTTCACCGGCCAAATTGCAGTAGATCGGCCGGCCCATAAACTATTTAATCAGGATGTTCAATTTTCTCTAACAACAAAAAGCATTCAGAGTAGAACTCCTTTAAATGCTCTGACAGTTTTTACAGATGCGTCTGGAGCATCCCATGAGTCAGTCATGACTTGGAAGGATCCTCAAACTCAGCGGTGGGAGTCAGATGTCACCGAGGTAGAAGGATCACCTCAGGTTGCTGAGTTGGATGCTGTCGTCAGAGCTTTTGAGAGGTTCTCTGAACCATTTAATTTGGTTACTGATTCAGCGTATGTAGCAGGTGTAGTATCCAGAGCTGAAAATGCCGTTTTGCAAGAGGTGTCAAACATGCCTTTGTTTAACTTGCTCTCTAAGCTAGTAACTTTAGTCTCCCGCCGAGAGCAACCTTTCTATGTGATGCATGTCAGGTCACATACCAATTTGCCGGGGTTCATTGCGGAGGGCAACAGGCGTGCTGACGCCCTTGCCACTCCAGTTGAGGTCTCCCCGCTCCCTGATCTGTTCAGTCAGGCAAAGATCAGCCACCAGCAGTTCCACCAGAACGCCCCTGGCCTTGTTCGGCAATTCCGCCTCACACGCAAGCAGGCCGAGGCGATTGTGGCTACATGTCCCCAGTGCCAGTCCCATCAGCTCCATCAATACCTCTAGGAGCTAACCCCCGAGGATTATCCAGCTGCGAGGTGTGGCAGATGGATGTTACCCACATCCCTTCATTTGGCCGACTCCAGTTTGTTCGCGTCTCTGTGGATACTTTTCTCCGGCGCAGTCTATGCCTCTGCCCACACAGGGGAAAGGGCAGCGGACTGTGAGAAACACCTGATACAGGCGTTCGCTGTCCTGGGCATCCCCAAGGTGATTAAAACAGACAACGGCCCAGCGTATAAATCCAGGGAGCTGCGTAGCTTCCTGCAGCAATGGGGAATAGAGCATAAGACCGGCATCCCCTATTCCCCGACAGGCCAAGCCGTGGTGGAGAGGACCCACCAGAGCCTCAAAAGAGTATTAGACCAACAACGCACGGCAGTGAAGGTGGAGTCCCCCCACATTCCTCTCTCAAGGGCGTTGTTTACCATCAATTTTCTAAACTGCTCTTTTGAAAATCTTAATCCGCCCATCACGAGACACTTCGGGAGACATGAGCAGCTGCAGCCTAGGGCCAGGCCCCCGGTCCTAATTAAGGATCCGGAGACCTGGAAAACGGAGGGGCCTTTGGACCTCATCACCTGGGGGAGGGGATACGCTTGCGTGTCCACTCCCTCAGGGCCGAAATGGATACCAGCGAAGTGGGTCAGGCCCTTCTGCCCTGAGAAGGTGCAGGTGATTGAAGAGGTAAAACAGGTCGAAGAGGCTTGTTGGCGGCGGCGGTGGAAGTCCTTGGACTTGGAGTCAGACCATCCCTAACACCCTCCCTACCACACGCAGGACCACGTCCAGAATTATTTCTCATACTTGCCTCTTTTGTTTGTTTCAGTTGCTCCCCATCAAATATGGACCTGACCCTCACCACGGCCATTTTGACAGTCATCCTCCTTGGGACCCTCACACCACCGGCGGGCCCGTCGATCGTCCCCCAGCCCAAGGCCAACGTATGGTGCACCCTTGCAAGCGCCCTCAGCCAAGAGCACATCTGTTTGGATATGGGGTCAGCAGAGGACCCGATGTCGTCCTGCCTCGTGGGGATCCCTCTCTCTCCCAATGAGCTTCCCTCTCCTTTCAACTTTACCCTCGCCCCAGTTGTATCTGGAACCCTTTCCCCCTCCATAGATATTAGAGATGTCTGGAGGGACGGGATCAAGGGGCTGGTCCCTTTGAGTTCCAAACCTCCAGAACTCGATTTGCTCGGTTCCACCAACGCCCCCATTTCTTTCTTGTTTCATTTTGCCCCACGCCCCTGGGACAGTAGGTACACCTGGTTGAAACCATCAAAAATCGAATATGAGGCTGCCCAGTGGTGCAAAACAGCCGTTGAAATACCACTTGCATCCACCCTGGGCAGCAAACCATTGTCCCTACCCCGGGGGATCTTTTTTGTTTGTGGAGACCGAGCATGGGCAGGCATCCCCGCTCGCCTGGTCAGAGGTCCTTGTGCTTTAGGGCGGCTGTCGCTGCTTACCCCCAACATGACTCAAATTCGCGATTGGAAACTGAAGAGAGTCCATCCGAATTCGACCCGATCCAAAAGAGATCTTAAAGATCTCGATCCGGATTGCGACTCCCAAATTGAACATTGGTCGAAGCCTAAAATGGTGGCCATCACCCTGTTTTTACCCTGGGTGTCAGTGGCCAAGTCTCTAGGCGAATTGGCCCGCCTAGAGTGTTGGGTGGTCAAGCAAGCCAACTTAACGTCAGCTACGCTTTCGGACCTCCTCTCAGACGAGGAAATAACGAGGAAGGCGACTTTGCAAAATCGCGCAGCGATTGACTTTCTATTATTATTACATCATCATCACTGCGAAGAATTCGAGGGCCTCTGCTGCCTGAACCTGTCATCACGGGCTGAGGACGCGAGGGTGGCCATCGACAAGATGCAGGGCCTCATTCATGAAATAAAACAGCAGACGTCGGACTGGCTGGGGGACCTCTTCACAGGATGGGGACTGTCAAGTTGGGCAGGGTCCATTTTAAAAACGATTCTTTCATCCCTCCTAGTTTTGTTTGTTGTTTTAGTCGCCTGCTCCATCGTCTGGAGATTGGTCAAGAGGCTTATAGCCACAGCAACGGCAATCCCAGATGTGAGCCGGGTAGAAGCCCCAGAGGAAGGCGGCAAAGACTGGGACTCCGTCTCCTCTGACCATCAAAGCTCCGAAGACTTCTACCCTGGCTCAGGCGATGTGGAGCAGACCCACTCTTCAGTTTGAACTATGTTGTGTACCCCTCCTGTTCTTTTCTTTTAAAACAAAAAAGGGGGAGATGTTGAGGCTCGTTTTGGGCTTGTTCTGTTCTTCCCCATTGTTATGCTGAAGGGTCCTGTCCTGATTCAGTTAAATGTCAATTCCCAAACCCCTCCCCAGTTTCCATAGTTGCGATATGTATCCTTTTAGTTCTCCACCCCCGGTTGCCTGCCTGTCACTCGGCACCCCTGCCTCTTTTTCCAGAAACTTCTGGCCAGGGTGTCGGGTGATTGGCTCATGGACCGGGGCCCCTCCCTTAGTTATGTATGATTGGTTTTGTCATTATGTCAGTCTTCAATGTATCCTTCCCTTCTCGCTCCTGATTTGTTACCACCCTCCCCTCCCACATTCCTTATAAACCGAAGTTTTCCTCTCCTCGGGGCTCTCAGCCTCGGGATTCATTGGGAGTGCTTGGTCCCTCTGGGGCCTAATAAACTTGATTGCACTGAGAGACGCCTCTTCTTTCTCCTGCGGGTTGGAGTTTCAGTGGCCAACGTCCACAAGGCAGTTTATTGCCTTAGGCATGGTGCCTGACTAGGAGTTGGGGAAGTGCCCCATCAGCTGGAGACGGGCTGGTCACCTAGCCTGGGCGTGCTCTACCGGCCACACCGCTCCACTCCATGAAGGGGAAGAGTCAATACCAAAGCTGTTTTCAAGAGGTGGCAAAGGTGAGCTGTGCTTCTGTTCTCTGACAGCAGCAGCAGCAGAAGCTCAGCTGCTCTGCTCAGGGCACAAGGGCCCCTGTGCCTGCCCTTTCCCCCCATAACACACGCTTCCCTGCACCTGCAGCAAAGCACAAGAAGCCACAGGGCCTCTGGCTCTGCTACTACCGGGAACAGCCACACCTGAACCCCCCCATTTTTCCACCCCAGCAGCTTTGACACAGTACAGCTGTGCAAGTGTGAGAGAGGTTTGGGCAAGCGAGAGATAGTGGAAGAATAGAGAAGAATCTTAGTGGGAAGAGATGATGGAGTGGCTTTTGCTGGACTCTTTTTGTACAGCCATGGACAGAACCCTGTTCCTTGTGATACAGAGACTGCATCTAGGGGGAGGCAATGCCTCAGAACCAAGAGGGTTCAGTGTTGGTACCCCTCGGCCCCAGGGGGTGAAAAAATATGGGTGGGACAGGTGTCCCAAAGGTGAGACTGTGCTCTTTTTGGAACGGGACAGAGCATCCTTAAAAAGACGACCCTAGAAGCAGCTTTGGTCCATGTTCAGTGGTGAGAGCACTGGACATGAAAGGAAGAGGTCATGACAGCAGATGGACTCCGGGCGGTGCCACGAGTGACACGGAAACACACGAGGCTTCAGCTGTGTTTCCAGGGGAAGCCCATGGTACAAGAAGGACTCCTCTCCTCTTGATGAACTGAGGATTGATTGTCTGAAGGGTGGTGCTGGACCAAGAGTTGGTGATTTGGGGAATAGATGTATTGGATTGGAAATTTGGTGGGGAGAGGAGGAAATGTATTTGTAAGGTTTTCATTTTCCTGTGTGTGTTCCTTTTTATATATAGTTGTAGTGTAGTTAATAAAGACTACACCACGGATCCTGCACACAAACACGTCTTCCATACGGCACCAGCCAATAGCCTGGCATCCCGAGCCAAGGGTTTAAGAGGTTTCCGAACACCAGGTATGGAACTTGGGGAAACAGACGCTCTTCCAGCCTGTGTGTCCTGCAGGGAGCATCTGCAGCTTCTTCAACAGGCCTAGCAAAAAGCCTGCGCAGCAAGAGGCAGTGTGCGCTCAACAAGTTTTGTGCCATCCCACAGCACCAACTTCTCCCATCTCACACAAGAACCGGCATCTCTGCTTTCAAACAGCCAAGGCACACCACATGCAACAAAAGCCAGAGGCACTGGCATGAGGGGCAGAATAGCCTTCCTGCTCCTCACAGCCAGCTTGGCAGGCTGACTCTCTTCCACCCAGGCATTGCACCCTTTCCCACAGGGCTGACCTACGCTGTCTTCCTATTCCGTTTCCAGCTCCTGGCACCTACAGCTTGCCCAGGATTCTGGGACCCAACCCAGCATACACTCCTGCTGAACCCTGCTACTCCAGGAAGGGGAAGAGTCAATACCAGAGCTGTTGTCAAGAGGTGGCAAAGGTGAGCTGTGCTTGTGTTCTCTGACAGCAGCAGCAGAAGCTCAGCTGCTCTGCTCAGGGCACAAGGGCCCCTGTGCCTGCCCTTTCCCCACATAACACAGGCTTCCCTGCACCTGCAGCAAAGCACAAGAAGCCACAGGGCCTCTGGCTCTGCTACTACCGGGAACAGCCACACCTGAATCCCCCCATTTTTCCACCCCAGCAGCTTTGACACAGTACAGCTCACTGCCCTTAAGGGCAAGAATCTCCCCTCATTCTCTGGCAAATCTACCTGTCTTCCCAAGGAGCCCCTGTTGCCAAGGCTCCAGGCCTCCCACGCTACTCCTCTGGCCAGCCACCTAAAGCAGCACAGTACTCATGGACAGCCAGCAAGAATCCACACTGCCTCTTGTACCCACCAACCTCATTGCTTCTCTTGCAGACGCCAGGTCCTGCGGCACTTGACAAGGTGGATCTGGATGTCTACAAAACCAGGGCTCCCAAGTTCTCCATGGGACTAAAAACCAAACTTCCTGGAAAGGGAGCATTTCCAGCTCCAGCGCAATACACCCTGGGAAAGGTAAGGCAGTCAGCCCATCAATGTCTTTTGCTGCACAATCTTCACTTGAGGACATCTCTGGAGAGTGAGGCATCATCTTCATGTCTTTTCTTCCCAATTTCCTCTTCCAGTTATGTCCCAGGGTGACTTTATGATGCTTGTATCCCCATTCATGTGTTCTGTTAATGTTGGATATTATGTTCTGTACCTTTAAGACTGGCTCTGAAGAGGGAAAGTTTTGTTTTGCTTTTCTTATCAGCCTGGCGGGACACAGAGACTGCAGCTTTGCTTTTTCTGCTTTTGCTTTTCGCTTTGCTCTCTCTCGCTCTTGCTTGTTTGCTTCTGCTTGCTTTGCTCATTAGCTAGTTTAGCTAAACTGTCCAAATTTCTTCCTGGACCATTTCTCCTTTCCTTTTTCTGACCATTTCGAACCTGCTCCAGACTGGGACCTGGGAAACACCAAGAGTCTGCACCTTCTGGCCTGCAGCAGCTGCCCCAGCACCAGAGGGGCTGAGAACAGAGTGACCACCCCCCAAGAGAGACTTTCCGAATTTGTCATCTCTTTTCAGAGTTGCCATCCGGTATTGTTCATTTTGTGTGCTGGGGGGTGCTGTGCTTGTTAAATAAACAGGTTCTTTCCACTTCTCCCTGAGGAATCCTTCCCGAACCGGTTGGGGGGAGGGGCCGTGGGGGTTTTGCTTACTGGAGGGGCCCTAATTTGGAAATTCTCCTCCAAATTTGCCCTAAACCAGGACAAGTTGGCAGTAACCAAGGCCTGGGATCCTGCCTTCAGTTTTGGACTCCAACATTCTCTCTTCAAAGCTTCTTTAATAGCTGAAACACATCTTGATTAAAGAGAGACACCTGAAGAGATTTCTTCTGTTCCTCCTTTGCAGCAGGGTGGGGTTCAGTGTGCCTTGCTGTAGACCACTGGCTTCACTCTCTCACGTCTATGCCTCAGTCAAAACACGGCAGCATGAGGCTGAGGGGAGAGCAGTGAGGTAACAGCGGGAGCCACGCTGGCGTCTCCAACACCACCCTTTCACCTAAGCAGGGCAAAGCACTGTGAAAGCTTTCCAGCCCTGCCTTGCACACTCTCAGCCCATGCTGGCCCATGCTGGCCTCAAAGACAAAGCCCATCTCAGTGTCCCCCTTTGCAGTGCACACAGCTGGCATCTACCCAAGGGGTGCCCAGAAATGCATCTGCCCTGTGTGAAATACAAAGCTGTGTTTCATGTCAGGTACAAACAGGTGACATGTGTATTTGTGAATGAGAAATGTGTGGACATCAACAATGGGATAGTTGTGAATTCTAATAATAACTGAGGAAAATAAAGCATGGAAAAAGGCCTTTGAACCTATCTTTTGTTTGCAATTCACCCTGGTTGATTTAGGAGCATTGGAATTAAGGTGTTAAGGATGTTGCTTTTTGCTTGCATTTAATCCATAAAAAAGCTCTGCAATAATAACCTTTTGAAGTATATTTTTAGAATATTACTTGTATCCTTGAAACTATAGCTTTGGAATATATATAAAGGAAATATGCTTATTTCACACCTTATAGAAGCAGAGAAAAACAGCTTGAGAAAGGAAGATCAACATCACCTCAAGGATTTATGGTTTCGACCAAAGGGAAGCTAGACATCACTGTTATGAGATTTATAGTCTCTGCAATTAAAAGGTGGACACATCTGGGGAGCTGGACTCCACCAGATGGGATTCGTCTTTCTTCTTTTGGAAACTGGACCGCCACTATCTGGGATACTCCTTTGAAAATACATCCTGAGAAATTAAAATCACAACAGTGTATAGAATTGTGATGTAATAATTTGGAAGAAAAATTGCTGATGAGTAAAAATTGGAAATAGAAACTGTTGAAAAAGAAGCTGAGGAGTACCCCTATAAATACCTGTAACCCTCAAGTATCGGTGTGCAGTTGGAGGGAACACTTCCCCCACTGTACCCAGCGCTGTATTGCTCATACTTTACCATATTAAATAATAAATTAATTGCTGCTTGAATATTGCCCTAGTCAAGCTTTTTATTCATAACAGAGCTCAAGGTGCTGCAGGTGAGGTTTGGGGTCCCTTAGAGAATAGTCAGGGGTGGCGAGCACTGGAAGATGCAGCTGCAGTCCCCATCCATGTCCCTTTCAGTGCTGCCTTTAGGGTGTCTGCAGCCTGGATCCAGAGCGCCCTGGGGGGCTCCTGCCTCTGCCTTTGCACTCAGGGTGAGGATGCCCAGCAGGCGCTGAGGCCGGCAGTGGGGACCAGGGCTGGGGCTGGTGGCCTGGCAGGTGCGGCTCTGGGGGCTGTGACACGCCAGGGCACGGGTCACTGTCACTGCCCTCCAGAGCCCTGGCTGGCTCTGTGATGCTCCAGGGACAATGGCAAGAGAGGGGAACTGGCTAGGTTAGGGTTTTGCCTGAGCCAGAACCTCTAGGCCAGCTGCCTAGCAGTAGAAACCCCCGGAGGACCGAGTGAAGGAGGCAGAGGAGGCTCTTCTGTGGTGCAAAATGCAGCGAATTCATTTGGAGAGGCAGTGGAAGGCACTTACGAGAACACCCCCAACGAAAAACAGAAGTTAAAAGAAAGCCCAGAACTCCTGTGCACGGGTTTTTAAAATCTTTCAAAATGGGGGGTGGACACCATATAGTAACCAATAAGCGACCCTCGGGGTGTGGTTTTGAGGGCTACAACAAATCAGAACAAGGGGAGGAGAGAGGGTTGGGACAGGGATTGGAGCTTGGGGTGAGGGACAGGGAAATGTCTGGAACAAAGGGTAGGGTTTGGGCTGATGGATGGGCCAAAGGGGCCGGGTTGTCTTGACAGACAGGGAAAAATCTGGTCAGGAGGGAGGGGATTCCTTGAGGGACACTTGGGTAGGAGGGCATAACACAGGGGAGAAACTAACTGTAATAACTCGGGAAACACTTGAACATAGCACAAGCTAACAGAACATTTGGCTCAGAAACTCACACACCGCAACACAGACATTCAGGCTTTCAGCAGCCGAGGGGTGGCACTGTCAGAACCCGCGGCAGCTGCTGAAAGCCATCTCTCTCCTTCAGGCTCTTGCTGGGTGGGAAGGGGCTGCGAGCTGTGGGGGCTGCACTCCCCCTGTGCTGGGAGGGTGATCTGCACCAGGGGAGAGCAGAAAGCTGCCACGGTGAGCAGAACATGCTCAGAGCATTACAGTTCAGAGAATGGCACTGCCCTGAAGGGCAAAAAGCTTGAAAGCATAGAATTCTGTGCAGCGCCGTTGCACAAATTTTCTCTTCAAGAACGTGCCCATTTTTGTATTCTGTAGATGAATACTCTGAGTTTTATAGAATACATGGGGTTTTTTCTTAAGGGTTTTGGGAGAACTCTCAAGTTTATTTCTATCTGCATTTTACATCCAGCATGTGTACAGGTTTTTAAAATTTTTCTTTTGTAAATACTTAGGGAAAAAATACCCAAGCATTTTTTAATCCTTTGGAATATTGTGATGAATATTTTTAGAAAGAAAACCTTGTTGAACATGGTTCAAATGTGAAAACACAAAGAGAAGAAAAATAGCATAAGTCTTTTTTAAAAGGGTGTATAATGAGGACTGCAGGACTGAGTAATTCCTCCAGGGGCAAATTCTTCAAGAACGGCCAAGATACTTCCTTAAATGAAGGGAAATATGACCTGAAGCCATACAAAGTACAGCCAAAGCAAATGAAAACCATTTGGAAAAGAGGGAATTTTGCCCGTGACATCAGTCTGTTGGGATAACTGAGGGATGCCCATCATCCTTGCACTGCATTCCTTGATATTTGTAGTGTGTTTTCTCCCAGTTTCTGTGAAGTGAATAAGAAGTTGCAGTTGTTTACCATTAATTTAAGCTCTTAGGGCAATTAGCAAGCACCATAAATGTTTTTTTGTAGCTGAGCAGGATTGAGTTTCCCAAATCTTCTACAAAGCAGAAGGGAACAACACAGTTACTTGTGCTAATGTTAATGAAGGGTTTCATGAAAGCAGGTGAATGAGAGCATTGCATTATAAAACTTCCACATTCAAGGAAACAGGAGTGCACTTGGAATAAAGCATATGAGGCTAGATTAACATCACAACAGGATAAAAGAAAATTACTTGGCAGGAAGTGATGTAGGGAAAAAAAAGCCATTTCTGATACAAGTGCATGCATTTGTAAGCTAAAAGAGAAAAAGAAGGGCAGAGATAATAAGGAACAAAGATTTTAAAATTGCACTGTGCAGAAGAGACACACGAACTACCAGTGTGAACACAGCTGAGAGATTCAGCTTGGAGATGGATTAGAGTGGAATCCATTCACCGAAGGTCTCTAGTGCACACGAGTGCAAAGACTGAGGAAAAAAGGAGAAAAATTTCGTTTCTGAAAGCCATTTAGATTCCTGGAAGCATTGTCTAGAGATCTAAAATCTAAAGCCTCAGAGAATCTGAACCTAAAACATCCCCAAACATCTCAGGCGAGAACCCCTGAGTAGTGGCTGCGTCTGCTGTGTGGTGATGCAGGCGAGAGCAGGACTGCCAAGTGCTGAGGCAAAGGAAGGAAGGAGTGGACACGCGTTTGGATGCCCAGGCGCTGTATTTGACCCAGGCGGGGCCAGTGACGGTGTCAGGTAAGAACCGTTAGGGAGGCACCTATGAAGGGGAAAGGCGTAACGGACGGGGACACGAGGGACCAACGAACAGAACAGGGGCGGGGCACGAGGGACACAACTGAACCAATAGGAAGGGCCTGGGGGCGGGAAAAGGCTCAGGGGACAAATCATATGTTAGGGAGGGATGATTGACATAGAAGATTCTCGACCTGAGAGGGGACGGTTACAATGATTGACAGGTAACAGGTGGAAGGAATGAACCATTACAAGGGAGAAGATGGGGGGAACTGAGGGTCAAACCAAATTCTTAACTTATAAATTAACCAACTTTACAATAAACCCATAAATATAAAACAAACAATGCTACACACAGTACATATGTACTGTTCTGCTGCTGTTTTAATTTTCTACCACATCCATAGGTTTATGATGGTTAAGAGGAGGGTTAATTTTTTTAAAATTAGAACTGGTTTGCTGAGGAAGCTAAAATCTAAGGAGCTGTTGGTGGTTCCAGATTTGTCCATCACAAGAAGACATCTGACTCATGATGTTCTCTTTCTTTCTCTATTTTGGTGATGATTTTGGTAACAACTTTGATACCAGATTTGAGTGTCCATCAGGCTCTGTGAGATGCATTTTGGACTCCTGCCACTAGCCATTCTATATTAGGCTGGTATGGCATTTGCTTTAGAACGTTAGCATCCCGTCCAGTTTGGAATTTGGGCGCTTGCTGATACCCATCATGTGCATTCTGCAGCATCTCTAGAGAAGTTCTTGTGTGGTGCAGCTGAAGTGGCATCCACTTTTGATTGTGAAATTACAAATAGAGAAGTTAGTACCATTAGTAGTTTCATTAAAAGACTCTATTGGAATAGTTGTGCAAGCAGATCTCACACAGGCACAGCCCCTTCCCACATAACACACCTGTGATAGTGCATGGGTAACTGGGCTCATTTCAAAAATACAAGTGCTGCCCTCAGCATGCAGACACCGATCCTCTCTTTCAAGCACCGCATTTTTGCACACAAAATTCAGTGCATCCCTTGGTACACATGCTTTGATACTAAGAGTTTGCCAGCTTCTAGTTTTCTTGTTGAAAATGGCCCAGACATTATGCTGAATGGTCTGACAGTTACGTGAGTTCTTATAACTCCAAGGGCCAAAATTGGAATGACACGGTATTTTGTTGCATTCTTAATGGTTAATACAAAAGACTGCAGGGTTCTGTTCATTCTATGTGAAATT